TATATATATATATATTTATATATATACTAAAAACAATATTAGTTTAGAAGAGGGTAATCTGCAACTTTTAATACGCTTATGTTTTATCAAGAAAAAGAGATAATCCACTCTTAATCAAAATTAGACAAAGCTCTGATATTATAAATACATTCCTATCAATTTGTCAACGACAAGAACTTAATAAAAACAAAAAAATAAGTGAGACTTTTTTCAAAGAAAGATGACAAAATAGAAATAACTAAATATGTATAGTAAGAAAGAAATTGGAATGGCTTCTGGTAAAAGATAAGAAAATTAAAGATCCTTGAAACTAGACTATAAGCAAGAAAGAAGTTAACAAGAGTGAAGAAGACTTTACGCTTGTTTCTATATATACTATCTAACTAGAAGCTACATGGCAATGTTCTATAGGACCTCCAATGTGTGTTGACTTTGTAGGACACATGCCTTGACTTATAAGGCAAGTTTTTTTTATGTGTAGGCTACATAGTTAGCTTGGTCTTCAAACTAACAACATATGTGGTACATGGCCAACTTGTTGACCACGTTTCTAATCTAAAAAGTCAATTAAAGATATCTATTAAATCAAAGTAGCGTCTATAGAAGATATTATAGAATTAACTTACTTTTATCTACTTCTACTTACTTCTATCTATTTATATAAGTAATTACTAGCTTACATGCATAGGTCCATGACACAATGTAATAAATACCTTTGTCAATATTTTATTTATATTATAAATGGTGACTACTAATTAATATTATTTTTATCCTAAATATGATAAAATCTAAGCAAACATAGCATCACCTTACCACAACCATAGTTGTTTGATTTACTTAATAATTATTGAAAGATACATGCCTTCTTTCTTCCACGCATGCCTATACTCTACAATATTAATCTTTTTGGTATAAGTAACAACTTTGCCAAAGTAGTCGACAAAGATTGTTGTACCTTGCTTGTTTTTTTAAAGAAACTAGATGATTGTGTGAATCAAATTGAATTACAAAGTGATATGCTAAAGATGTGGTAGATTAAATTTATTATAGCATTGGTATAAGTATTTGAAAATAATATTTTTATGGTCAAATTAATCTAATATTTGAGATCATAATAAGATTTTGTAGAAGGTTTGAGACAATAATAGCTTGATTTGCATGCATTTGTCAATAATTGTTTGTATCTTGACTTGAGTTGCAAAGTTAGATGGTTTGTTAAATTATAGAGCACCTAATAATTTGGATTTTTTATGTTGTTGCTAGTACAAGTAGAGATGTTGTTAGAATAATAAATAAATATTGTTGTACCTTGCATACTTCTTCCAAAAATTAAACAATTCTATAAGCTCATTTAGGCTAAGAAGTGGTGTGCTAAGCGTATGTTGGATTGGATAGATTGTAGTGTGATGGCAAGTTTATGAAATTAGTTTTTGCAGAACTAAATAGCTATTATTTTGAAGTATTCTATTTTGCAATCTTATTTGTTATTAGAAGTGACAAAGTGGATAGGCTAATGTATTGATTGTGAATTGAAAGTATGTTGTATTAAAAGAAAATAGACTTAGTTTCAAATAGATGTTGAATAAGAATCTAATATAATTAGTTTATTTTTTTAAATAGAGTTTTATTTATTTTAATATTTTATTTATTTATAATATTTAATAAATTCATTATTTTAATCTTACATACTTTTATATATGATTTTTTTGTTATAATTAATTTAATAAGGTCTATACTTTTGTATATTAATAAAATATTATGTGATTAATATATTTTATTATTTTTGTGATTAAGTGAAGAATCTTATTACTTTATTAAAAATATACGTAAACTTAGGTTAAAGAATTGTTTGTAAGTTATACATTAATGGATTTAGAATATGTCATTGATTCTTCATGAAATTATTTGTTGTATAAATAATTATAATTTTTTGACAAAAGGTTGTTTTTTTTGCTTGATGGTTGAATAATGTGGAAGAATGAACATAGATTTAAGTGTAGAAATAATTTTAAATTGGTATAGAGATAAAATGTTTATATTATTTATATTATTTATATTTTTATGTTTTTTTATAATAAATTATAAATTAAAAGAATATAGTGATGAATTAATATAATAAATACTTTTAGGACTAGGTAAAATAAATAATATTATTTTATTTGATAAATATAATACGTAAATTTGTAAATTTATTTTAAAATTATAGATTTAAAAGTACAAGTTAAAATTAAATTAGTAAGGTTAATTAGATAAGAAAAAAGTTAGAAATTATAAAAGTGTGATAGTAAGTCGTTGTAATAATAAGTCATAGTAATTAATGATATTAGATCTATCAAGTATAGATATAATTGTCTAAATAAATAGATGTAGTACATAAAATTTTTAAGTTAAAATTTGAAACTAATGGAATTAATAGAAATTCAGATATAATTGATATTAATAGAAAAATTAATTAATTTTATGATTTATTTTTGTGGAACTAAAATAATATGTAGAAATAATGGTGGTTAAAATTTATATTAATTAAAATTTGTAAGAAGAACTTTTTGGTGTAGTTTGTTAATATATATAAAAGATATAATTTTGTTAGATTTTTTAAAAATTTGAATTGGTTTTTTATTCAATCAAAAAATAATGGATGCATTTAAAGAACTTGTTACAAACATACATACTTATTCTAATAATTACCTATATGATTAGATAGAAGTATGTGAAAATAGATTAATTTCATAATATCTTTCAGAAAAACTTCCTAAAAGCTTAATAGACGTGGTTTTGATTTTATATGTATTTATAGTTGATTGATAGATTAGAAACTTGGTCAACAAGTTAGCTATATGTTACATGTATTGGTAGCTTATGAAATAAGCTAACTATGTGGCATACATATAAAAATCTTGCCTTGTAAGTTAAAACATATATCTTGCAAAGTCAACACATATTGGAGGTCTTATAGAATCTTGCCACATAACTCCTAATTAGATAGTATATATGGAGATAAGAGTGAAGCCTTTTTTACTCTTGTCAACTCCTTTCTTGTTCTTAGTCTAATTTCAAGAGGCTATACTCTTTTTATCTTTGATAATAACTATTCTAGTTTAATATTATATCAATTTTGAGAGATTTTCTAGTTTTTTTGGTTGATACAAGAGTGTATTGATCTTTTAGTTCTTTGAGATTTATGTCCTTGACAAAACTTCATTTTATGATATTATAATTTTAATGTAAATATTTTTTTAATATGTTTGTAGCTTGTTAAAAGATATTTTTAATTATGTATCTAAATTTATAAGATATATTGGTTTAAATAGAAGTTATTTAAAGTTTAGGATTAGTAAGTTTTATATTAAAGTTATAATTTAAAAATAGATTATTAAGATAGATATAAAAAATTTAAGTATTGGTTTTAAAATTATTTAAGATATATGATTTAGTCTTAGAATTATAGATTTTATATGTAAGGTAGAACACAAAAAATTATTACGATAAAAATTGTGTATTTTTTATTTACATCATATATATAGATATATATATATATATATATAGTAATTTTTTTGTATCAATCCAAGTTACATATCTTTGTCAATAAAATAACATTCATTATACCTTATAAATATATCATAGATACCAAATAATTATCTTTAAATATAAAAATATATATAGTATAAATTATATATTTATATATCATAGTAATTACATGCATGATTTATTTTGTCTAAAAATGGTATTATTATATGTATTATTTAAAATTTAATTATTTCTATAAAATATATAATAATTATAAAATAGTGTGTGTATATATATAGAATAAGACTATTTTTTTATTTGGATGAAATATACTACTTAAGTAAATCAAATATTGTGATTTATTTATTTTTATAATATTTTAATTTCAATTTCATATAGTATACATATACTAATATGACTATGTTTGTGTTGTTAATTGAATGATGATATTGCTGATTTATCAAAAATAAATATTAAATAGTAGTAAGTTGATCTAATATAAAAACAAAGCCCATCCACGAGTTCTCATCCACTGGAGGCATGTTCCACGGAACGGTCCTCCACGGGCACCAGCCCGGTTATTTGGAGCCCAGTGGGACTTGCAGAGGGCCTTTGAGTCCGGAGGGGATTGCGCGTCTCCGTATTATTTAGGGTTTGTCGATGGTCCAGGGGTTTGGTGGTGGCCGCCGCAGCTTGTGGCACTGCGCGGTGTTCAGAGGCGGAGGGAAATTTCTCTGTGGGATCTTTACGTCGGAGGAGAGAGATTCACCAATACGTGGCTTGGCACTGTCGGAGGTTGCGGAGTTTTGGTTCGTTGTACGGTTCACAGTGGTTGCTGCATCAGGGCATGCGTTAGGGTATGTATTAGGTTTCGAGGGGCTTGCATGTTGCGTTGCGTGGCTTTCGGTGTTCCCACGCGTATCATGATTGTTGAGATACCTCACTTCTCCTTTCCATTTTCAGTGTGGGATAGCCATAAATCATTGATTTTGTGCCCCTGTAACCTGTATTAGTTTATTTCTCCTCTAGGTGTCTTGTCGGGCTGTAGTGTCAAGCCCCCGTGGTTTGAGGAGCATGAGCGTTGTGTGAAAGGTGATTTCGTGTCTGCACGACTGATTCGTTTCCTGTGCCGGAGAGGGTCCAGCCTGGCTTGAATGGAAGTCGCGAAGTACTTTTTGGTGGAGAGCACTTGAGGCGCTCGAGGTTTTGCCGTATTCTTCAATGCCTGGTGCATGTGTATTTGAGAAGCGGCGCTGAGCGAGTCGTGGTGGAACGTTTGCGGACAATCTGAACTATGAGATGTGATTTTCTTCAAACCTGATTGTGAAACGGCAATCTTACTTGTCATCCTTGCCTTGGCGGCAGATAGTTGAACTGCAATTTAACAGCCCCTTCGGTATCCTCTACGACAAAAGTTATGGAGAGTGACTTGTGTACTTGGTGTGTTATTGGTATATTCTTCAACGCTTGGTGCATGTGTATTTGAGGAGCGGCGCTGTGCGAGTCGTGGTGGATCATTTGCGGACAATCTGAACGATGAGATGTGTTTTTCTTAAAACCTGATTGAGAAACGGCAATCTTACTTGTCATCCTTGCGTCGGCGGCAGTTTGTTGAATTGCAATTTAACTTCTTTCGGTATTCACTGTAACAAAAGTTCTCTAGAGTGACTTGTGTACTTTGTTACATAGATATTTTAAATGTTTGAACTTTGCATCTTGTTGGTAGATTATTTCATTTTTGTGTAAAAGTTTTAGGTAGATTTCTTTAAGTAGAAGTAATTTAAGGTTTTGATGTTTGACATAGGATTAGTAATTTTTAACATAGGTTGAAATGAGATTATTTAAAATATGTACATAAATTAAGTGATGGTTTGGTTTTAGAAGTATAGATTCATTTTGTTGGATAAAAAAATGGTATGGTATGTGGAACAATTCATATAAAAGAGTTTGAGAAGATTTTTTGAAATTCTAAATACATCTAACATGTTTTCTACATGTGGTGAGAAGGTGAAATTGATTTTATTAGTTTACAAAATCAAGATGGGATATCTTTTGGAATTATTCAAGAAATGTATATATATGGTTTGGAGTTATTTACATGGTCTCTTCATGTCAAGATCTTCAAGCACCATGGAACAATATGAAGAAATATCAAACATGCAAGGTATTTGTGGAGATACTTGGGAAGGTTCTAAAGTTTACATTGGAGCATTCAAGGTTTTATTGAAGAAAAAGTACATGTTGAATAGAAACCAATGTACTAATTTGTGCAAGAAAATTGAAAATGTTACAAAGATTTTTGACCACCTAATAACTTGCACCAATGATAAATTAGAGTTTGAACTTCTATTAAGTGAGCTATTTTTTATATTGAATAAATCTTACTCTCTAATAAAGAAATGTGGAAAACCAAATTGGTGTGAAGAAGCTCTATTCCAATTCAACAATAAAGAGACTTTTAGAGAACTAATTTTGGATTTAAAATGTTGTTGTGATATTGCAAGTGATATGCTTTCAAAGCATAATTCCTACAAATTTGAAGACATTATATTTGATACTTTTGATGTTCCAACATATCAAGAAGTAGAAGATGATATTATATTATTACATGAGAGATTGAACCATGCAAGTGAAGAAGAAGATTTTGAATATCATGCATTAGCAAAGGATCTATTACGAAGATGCAAAGACTTGTATCACATTGAGATTGGAGAATTGGATGCTTTGAATTTTTCAACAGATATGACAAGTCTTGAAATCATAGAATGTGTGAAGGAAAAATCTGGATCTTTTGGAGAAGTTTACAAATCCAAGTGGTTGGGACTTTTGTGTGCAACTAAAAAAATGGATGTTGCATTTGCTAAGTTGTTCATCAAAGAAGTGAATATTCTAACAAGTGTAAGCCATCCAAATTTGATAACATATTATTTTGCAATGAAAGGTAGTGCTAATGGAAGTGTTGAAGCTTTTGAAACAAAAGACAAAAAAGAATATTTGTATATTGGAATGGAATTGATGCAAAACAATTTGAGCAATATGTTGGAAGAAGAGAAAGAAGTATCTTATATTTTTCTTATTGACATCATGCATCAAATTGCAAAAGGAATGTGTTACTTGCATGACATGCACATTGCACATCGTGATCTAAAGCCTGAGAATATTTTGGTTAATATTGTGGAATCAAAGATTATGAATAAGATTGTTCGACATGTTATTGTGAAAGTGATTGATTTTGGAATGTCCAAGTTTGAAGTTGGAAGAAATTCAGTAGCCACAGAGAATAATTACATTTATGGTAGTCTTAAATATACGGCTCCAGAGGCACTAAAAAATAAATTTCAAACAATGGCAATGTGTCCTTTTGAAGCTGATGTTTACTCATTTGCAATGATATGTTCTAAGATTCTTTCAAAGAAAGATCCATTTCATGATGTTCATGACCCAAAAAGAATATTAGAAAGAATTGAAAAAGGTGAAAGACCAAAGCTACCTTCAAATTGTGATGACTTGATGGAGCTTATTAGAGAATGTTGGAGGTTGAATCCTTTGCATCGGCCAAAGTTTGCAAGCATTTGTGAAAGATTGAACTCACTAAAATGTAAGTTTTTAGTTGGAATGAATGTGTCAAACGCACCATATTTTGGAGTATCAAAGAACAACTACCATCAAAATGACGAATTGCAACAAACACTCTATCAATTGCCAAAGGTAAGACTTGTACAAAAAGTTATTGAAAGTATGTAATGAATTTATTAGATTGCTTAAATTTTGTATTGGCACATACTCTTATATGCTTATAGTGAGGATTAGATGCCTTTTCAAGAGTATTAGTTAATAAAACTAGATTAGAATAAAAAAAACTATTATTATGATTATTATTATTATTATTATTCTTTTGTTAATATATGGTTGAATTTCTAATTGTAGGTTGATTTGCTTGACGAAGATACATTTGGTAGAGAACATTATTTATCTCGAATAAAAAAAGAATGTGTAAATAAAATGAAGGTATTGTGTCTTGTTGGAATGGGTGGAATAGGCAAGACCACATTAGCAAAGGCTATATTGGCTACTGTAAAAGACATATATGATGCATCATGCTTTGTTGAGTGCATTGAAAATGATGTTGATTGCTTCACAACTTCTTGCAATATTTTAGAACAATTTAAAGTCAAATCAAAACCAAAGGATGTTGAAGAAGCTCAAAAAATGTTGAAATCATTCTTGATGAAGAACAAAACCATCTTTGTATTTGACAATGTGAAGAATCAAAGTCAAATTGAAGATGTTGTGCCTATAGATGACATATATGCTAGCAATGGTAGCACATTGGTTTTAACCACTCGAGATTCAAAAGCAATAGAGTATTGTGGTGAAGAAGTTTGTATAATAAATATTGAAGAACTTGATGAAGAAACAAGTATGAAGTTATTTATCACTCATTCTTGTGGCCAAGAAAATTTGCCAAATGAATTAGTTGAAGTTGGAGAAAAGATTGTAAGAGCTTGCCATGGTCTACCATTGAGTCTAAAAGTTATGGGAGCATTTTTGAGAGAGAACAAGAGATTGAGATGTTGGGAGCGAGCTCTACAAAAGTTGAAAAGAGGAAGAGAGTTGGATGGAAATGAAAACAATAGTAACTACAAGATTTGGAAGATATTAAAAGTAAGCTTTGACAATTTGAAAGATGAAGAGAAGAAAATATTTTTGGACATATGTTGTTTTTTTAGTAGTGATGTGTATCCACAAGGCATGTCAAAAGAAAGAGCATTGCGAATGTGGGCTAATAGTCAAAAAGAAATATTTGAACAAGATATGGAAGTTATGTTAGATACATTGATTTACCAATCATTGGTAAAAGTAGACAAAGATAAAATTATAAGAATACATGATCAGCTACAAGACATGGGAAGAAACATTGTTGAGAAAGAAATGGAGTATAAATACACACGAATGTGGAATTTGAATGTAGATCTATTTTATGGATTTTCAAACAAGGTAATTTTATGTAACTATTATCCTAATTGCATGCATAAAACTAATAATAGCATTAGAAAAGAATGAACAATTAAAAATTAGAGGTTTTTTACTTGTATGTTATGTTATTTATATTATGTATTTTAGATGTATATTGAAGTGAAGTTATTATGCTTAAATATGAATCTTGTATTATAAATAGATTTGTATGTGCATTAAAAATGTCATTAATGCAAAAATTATAATCTAATTGTGTATTTAATTGTGTTGGTTTTTAGTTGGAGGGATTATTTTACAACAACATACACAAAAATATTATAAGTGAATTAAGAAGTGATTCTTTTTCATCACTTCAATTTTTAAGTTGTACTATTGGTGATTTTGCACCCAATATTGTTATAAGAATAATAAGCATATTTTTTGTGTTGATAAAACATTCTCTTAGTTTAAAATGTTTTCTATTAGATATGCCTGAAGAAAAAAAATTACCAAGAGAATCAACAAACAAAGCATTGCAAATGCTTCATGACATAAATGTTTGGAAAAAGTTGGAGAGTTTAAATATCTTACAATTGAGAAATTATTCATTTATAGAAACATTTCCACATTCAATTTTTAGAATACCTACATTATTAGAACTTGACTTAGAAGGATGCTCAAACTTAACCATGGTAAAAAATGATTTGCAATATATGACTTCTTTGAAGATACTTAATTTGAAAGATTGTAAACAATTACATTCATTGCCAACATCAAAAAGAAATCTTCTCTATTTGAAAAAATTCAATATAAGTGGGTGTTCCAACTTGACATCATTGCCAAATGAATTGGCCAACCTCACATCTTTGACTACCTTGAACATAAGTTACTGCTCAAGCTTGACATCATTGCCAAATGAATTGGGCAACCTCACATCTTTGACTACCTTATATATGGGGAGGTGCTCAAGCTTGACATCATTGCCAAATGAATTGGGCAACCTCACATCTTTGACTACCTTGAATATAAGTGGTTGCACAAGCTTGATATCATTGCCAAATGAACTGGGCAACCTCACATCTTTGACTACCTTGGATATTAGTTACTGCTCAAGCTTGACATCATTCCCAAATGAATTGGGCAACCTCACATCTTTGACTACCTTGAATATAAATGAATGCTCAAGCTTGACATCATTGCCAAATGAATTGGGCAACCTCACATCTTTGACTACCTTAAATATAAGCGGGTGTTCACGCTTGATATCATTGCCAAATGAATTAGGCAACCTCACATCTTTATCTACCTTTAATATAAGTTTCTGCTCAAGCTTGACATCATTGCCAAATGAATTGGGCAACCTCACATCTTTGACTACCTTGAATATGTGGGGGTGCTCAAGCTTGACATCATTGCAAAATGAATTGGGCAACCTCACATCCTTAACTACCTTTAATATAAGTTACTGCTCAAGCTTGACATCATTGCCAAATGAATTGGGCAACCTCACATTTTGACTACCTTGAATATGAGATATTGCTCAAGCTTGACATCATTGCCAAATGAATTGGGCAACCTCACATCTTTGACTACCTTATATATGAGATACTGCTCAAACTTGACATCATTGCCAAATGAATTGGGCAACCTCACATCTTTGATTGATTTTGATATAAGTGATTGCTCAAGCTTGACATCATTGCCAAATGAATTGGGCAACCTCACATCTTTGACTACCTGAAATATAAGACGGTGTTCACGCTTGATATCATTGCCAAATGAATTGGGCAACCTCACATCTTTATCTACCTTTAATATAACTTACTGCTCAAGCTTGACATCATTGCCAAATGAATTGAGCAACCTTACATCTTTGACTATCTTGAATATGAGATACTGCTCAAGCTTGACATCATTGCCAAATGAATTGAGCAACCTCACATCTTTGACTACCTTGAATATGAGATACTGCTCAAGCTTGACATCATTGCCAAATGAATTGGGCAACCTCACATCTTTAACTACCTTGAATATGTGGGGGTGCTCAAGCTTGACATCATTGCCAAATAAATTGGGCAATCTCACATCTTTGACTACCTTGAATATGAGATAATGCTCAAGCTTGACATCATTGCCAAATGAATTGGGCAACCTCACATCTTTGACTACCTTATATATGTGGAGGTGCTCAAGCTTGACATCATTGCCAAATGAATTGGGCAACATCACATCTTTGACTACCTTGAATATGAGATACTGCTCAAGCTTGACATCATTGCCAAATAAATTGGGCAACCTCACATCTTTGACTACCTTGAATATGAGATACTGCTCAAGCTTGACATCATTGCCAAATGAATTGGGCAACATCACATCTTTGACTACCTTGAATATGAGATACTGCTCAAGCTTGACATCATTGCCAAATGAATTGGGCAACCTCACATCTTTGACTACCTTGAATATGACATATTGCTCAAGCTTGACATCATTGCCAAATGAATTGGGCAAACCTCACATCTTTATCTACATTTAATATAAGTTACTTCTCAAGCTTGACATCATTGCCAAATGAATTGGGCAACCTCTCATCTTTGACTACCTTTAATATAAGTTACTGCTCAAGCTTGACATCATTGCCAAATGAATTGGGCAACCCTCACATCTTTATCTACCTTTAATATAGGTTACTGCTCAAGCTTGACATCATTGCCAAATGAATTGGGCAACCCTCACATCTTTATCTACCTTTAATATTAGTAACTGCTCAAGCTTGACATCATTGCCAAATGAATTGGGCAACCCTCACATCTTTATCTACCTTTAATATAAGTTACTGCTCAAGCTTGACATCATTGCCAAATGAATTGGGCAACCTCACATCTTTGACTACCTTGAATATGAGATATTGCTCAAGCTTGACATCATTGCCAAATGAATTGGGCAACCTCACATCTTTGACTACCTTGAATATGAGATACTGCTCAAGCTTGACATCATTGCCAAATGAATTGAGCAACCTCACATCTTTGATTGAATTTGATATAAGTGATTGCTCAAGCTAGACATCATTGCCGAATGAATTGAGCATCCTCACATCTTTGACTACTTTATATATGTGGAGGTGCTCAAGCTTGACATCATTGCAGAATGAATTGGGCAACATCACATCTTTGACTACCTTGAATATGAGATACTGCTCAAGCTTGACATCATTGCCAAATGAATTGGGCAACCTCACATCTTTATCTACCTTTAATATAAGTGACTCCTCAAGCTTGACATCATTGCCAAATGAATTGGGCAACCTCACATCTTTGACTACCTTGAATATGAGTTACTGCTCAAGCTTGACATCATTGCCAAATGAATTAGGCAACCTCACATCTTTGATTGATTTTGATATAAGTGATTGCTCAAGCTTGACATCATTGCCGAATGAATTGGGCAACATCACATCTTTGACTACCTTGAATATGAGATACTGCTCAAGCTTGACATCATTGCCAAATGAATTGGGCAACCTCACATCTTTATCTACCTTTAATATAAGTTACTGCTCAAGCTTGACATCATTGCCAAATGAATTGGGCAACCTCACATCTTTGATTGAATTTGATATAAGTGATTGCTCAAGCTAGACATCATTGCCGAATGAATTGAGCATCCTCACATCTTTGACTACTTTATATATGTGGAGGTGCTCAAGCTTGACATCATTGCAGAATGAATTGGGCAACATCACATCTTTGACTACCTTGAATATGAGATACTGCTCAAGCTTGACATCATTGCCAAATGAATTGGGCAACCTCACATCTTTATCTACCTTTAATATAAGTGACTCCTCAAGCTTGACATCATTGCCAAATGAATTGGGCAACCTCACATCTTTGACTACCTTGAATATGAGATACTGCTCAAACTTGACATCATTGCCAAATGAATTGGGCAACCTCACATCTTTGATTGATTTTGATATAAGTGATTGCTCAAGCTTGACATCATTGCCAAATGAATTGGGCAACCTCACATCTTTGACTACCTGAAATATAAGACGGTGTTCACGCTTGATATCATTGCCAAATGAATTGGGCAACCTCACATCTTTATCTACCTTTAATATAACTTACTGCTCAAGCTTGACATCATTGCCAAATGAATTGAGCAACTTTACATCTTTGACTATCTTGAATATGAGATACTGCTCAAGCTTGACATCATTGCCAAATGAATTGAGCAACCTCACATCTTTGACTACCTTGAATATGAGATACTGCTCAAGCTTGACATCATTGCCAAATGAATTGGGCAACCTCACATCTTTGACTACCTTATATATGTGGAGGTGCTCAAGCTTGACATCATTGCCAAATGAATTGGGCAACCTCACATCTTTGACTACCTTGAATATGAGATACTGCTCAAGCTTGACATCATTGCCAAATGAATTGGGCAACATCACAACTTTGACTACCTTGAATATGAGATACTGCTCAAGCTTGACATCATTGCCAAATGAATTGGGCAACATCACATCTTTGACTACCTTGAATATGACATACTGCTCAAGCTTGACATCATTGCCAAATGAATTGGGCAACCTCACATCTTTGACTACCTTGAATATGACATATTGCTCAAGCTTGACATCATTGCCAAATGAATTGGGCAAACCTCACATCTTTATCTACCTTTTATATAAGTTACTGCTCAAGCTTGACATCATTGCCAAATGAATTGGGCAACCTCACATCTTTGACTACCTTGAATATAAGTTACTGCTCAAGCTTGACATCATTGCCAAATGAATTGGGCAACCTCACATCTTTGACTACCTCGAATATAAGTTACTGCTCAAGCTTGACATCATTGCCAAATGAATTGGGCAACCTCACATCTTTGACTACCTCTTAATATAAGTTACTGCTCAAGCTTGACATCATTGCCAAATGAATTGGGCAACCCTCACATCTTTATCTACCTTTAATATAGGTTACTGCTCAAGCTTGACATCATTGCCAAATGAATTGGGCAACATCACATCTTTGACTACCTTTAATATTAGTTACTGCTCAAGCTTGACATCATTGCCAAATGAATTGGGCAAACCTCACATCTTTGACTACCTTAAATATGAGATACTGCTCAAGCTTGACATCATTGCCAAATGAATTGGGCAACCTCACATCTTTGATTGCCTTGAATATAAGTGATTGCTCAAGCTTGACATCATTGCCAAATGAATTGGGCAACCTCACATCTTTGACTACCTTGAATATGACATACTGCTCAAGCTTGACATCATTGCCAAATAAATTGGGCAACCTCACATCTTTGACTACCTTGAATATGAGATACTGCTCAAGCTTGACATCATTGCCAAATGAATTGGGCAACCTCACATCTTTGACTACCTTGAATATGAGATACTGCTCTAGCTTGACATCATTGCCAAATGAATTGGGCAACCTCACATCTTTGACTACCTTGAATATGAGATACTGCTCAAGCTTGACATCATTGCCAAATGAATTGGGCAACCTCACATCTTTGACTACCTTTAATATAAGCGGGTGTTCACGCTTGATATCATTGGCAAATGAATTGGGCAATCTCACATCTTTGACTAGTTGTAATACAAGAAATTGATGAAGCTTGATATCATTGCTAATTGAGTTGGATAATTATCATTATTGCTAAATGAGTCAAGATAATTAATTTTTTTCTATGTTTAGAATCTAATGCTTTGATTTGGTAATAGAGCAGTCCAAACAACTTGATACCAATTGATTGGGGATTTAATAATAGAACCTTCCATGTTTTTTTCCATGTAATTTGGAGCAAATAAGATGTTTTTTGCTATGACATTGAAATGCACATGCTTGAGATTTACAACTAATAAGTATGGAATC